TACCCAAGCCCATTGAGATTTCTGGGTAGCTGGATACTCAGCTCCCTCTTGCTCCTTTGAAAATTCCAGCTTTCATCTTTTTCTTTGCAAGTCGTTCCCTCCTGCCGCTTACTCAGTTCCATATATATTTGGCTCAGTTTTTTACGTGGTTAACTTGAAAGAGCAAGGGCAGAAAATCAATTATAAAACTAAATTGACTTCTCAATTGACGTTAAGAGAAATTCAACAAATAATATTACAGGATATTAGTTACAGTTTGCTGACTTTGAACTTTTGCATGTTTCCCATGTCCTCAGCTTGATTAAATGAATGCTTTTCCTACAGAGATTCCTTATTATTCAAAACTAGTAAAAGTGAGGGGCTTATTGCATCAGCTTTGGCTTCTGAGCACCATGGCTCATCAGCACAGTGAGAATTCTGGCTTCAGAGCGTCAGTAAACCAGTTGTTTGTTTGGATCCTGGCAAACACCAGATAGATTTTGACCCGTTGGACTGGTCTGCTGCCGAGCAGGAGGATATCTGAGAGGGAAAATGGTTCTGCCAGCCAGGAAAACTCTGGGGCTCTGTGACAGCACTGGGCTGCAGCAGTGTCCTATAATCAAGCACAACAGGGGCCATGGTAGACAGGGTTAAAAATACTATTTTATTAAAAGAATTTACTTATCTATAAATGAGGCATATTTTCTGTCAGCAGGTTCTTATTTTAAAAAGAGCAAAAGCTGATATTTCTGAGCTGGCACAGACAGCTTCTGTCACAGCATCCATTGATTTTTTTTTTTCCCTTTGGTAACATAATTCAGAGAAACATTAATTAGGAATAGCTACTGAGATACATACTTTGATTTTTTTCTTTAGTAATTTTGCTCTATTGGCAAATCATTTAAGTTATTAGTGTTAGTTGTGAGAATGAACAATCAGATTAGTTGCGAAAAAGGCAGTAAACTATTGGTAAACACTTAGCATAGGTTTAATTTTCAGATAATTAGAAACAATTGGGTATTTTAGCTGACCAAGCGTATTCAAATAAGATTACCATTTAAAATGATTTGACAAGGTGTGTGTCAGCAATAAAAATAAAATAGATTTTCCTTCATGTAGTGTAAACATAAGGAAAATAGGCCCAGATAATATATTTTAAGACCAGAGCAGACTTTTCCCCCATTTGTCCTGATATTTATTCTGTTCAGTTTTGCTATCATCTGTGCAGCTAATCCAGTTTACAGCAGTCTGAGATCCAGATTTATGCTGCAAGGCCATTACATTTCCCTTTAATATTCACAATACAGGAATTATCCACACTTCCACCCGTGCAGGGTTCAGTGTTTGCAGGCTGTTTGTTGCATGGTAATAAGCCTGTGGTTTCAAACTGTTAGTTGTTTTTTGTAATTATTGTACTCTATAGAAAAAACATGTTTTAAATCCCTAAGCATTTATGAAAATCTATTTCTACATGCATTGTTTTTTTTGTTTTGTTTTCTTTGCTGTTCCTGAGCAATCCTAATGAGAAACTGTTAGGAATTAAATGGGTCATCTTGTTCAATAAATGGCAGTGAATACCTTTAATGAGGGATTTATTTCCATTAGGTTTGCTGTGACCACTTCCACTCACCCATTCCCAGTACTGGACTGTGGGAAAATAGCTCCGTGCCACGGTGCTATGAGAGTGAGGATCGAGGGCTGCTAAAACAAACAGTTTTCATGCCTGTGATGCACAAACAGAAATGAAAAGCTGCCTCAGTTGGTTCATATTCTTGTGGAAATGTAAACAAGCAAATCCTGGTTTATAGGCAGCCACACATCAGTATTGGTATCACATACCCTGAAAAGGCACCTCATCTGGCCAGCATCATAACTGATATGCAATTACTAATGTCCTTCTTTGAAATGAGGGCTTTGCTGTAACATCAGATATCACTTTAAAATGCATTAATTGTGCCAGAAATCCTGTCCTGATATTCAGTACTGTGGCATTTTACTGGAATTCTTGGAAGGAGGTGCAGCACAGTGCACAGCAAATATGCGGTCTTTATCCCGTTGTACCTAAGGATCCTTACCAAAAATCATGGGAAAATATAGTATAGGAGGCCTAAAACAGCCAAATCAGAGTGGATAAAAGATGACTTTTAGTGATACTGGATTTTTAACTTTGAACCACATTTCTTTTCCTTTATATGCTTTTAAGTATTTTAAAACAGGCATGGGCTTGTATCTTATACCTCCATGTGGCCATGGATGTGCATGAACAGCCCTGGTCTGTGGTGTCTGTGATTTTCTGAGGTCAGTGATGTCTGTGTGATTTTCTAGGGTCAGTGATGTCTGTGTGATTTACTGGTGTCTCTGTACTGTCCACCCCTCCTCTCTCCAGGTGTGTGACCCCAATATTATGCAAACACGAACCCGACAAGTGCTGAGGTCTCCTGTCAGTTCAAAGCCCTGCCCTGAAGATTCACAAATGAAGCCATGTATTCTTAATCAAAATTGCTTCCAATACCAGTACAACCTAACAGGTAGGTATAAATTTTCAATATCCCCTTAGTATGTGCTTTTACTTATGTTTGCTTGGGGTGTTGGTTAAAGCCTTGACATCATTGGTTTCAATAAAGTTAATTACACGCCTACATTTTTACACATTAGTGGACAAATGCACAATTTTTGTATTTAAGTTGTTGTTGCAAGTACATGGGAAATAAAGCATGCTAAATGGGATTTTCAATGGGTTATCAACAGAATTAATTACAAAATTTCAATTAAAAGAGTATCATCTGTGTAGTTCTGGTAAAGCCAATAGTACACAGTACAACAGAAGTCTGTTTTGAAGGCAATATGAGTTATATAGGTGTGCATAGGATATTCAGAGCAAAATGCATTATTTAGGGGCTTAGAAGCAATTGGTTCTGCTGCAAACAAATGAACAAAACAAAACCGAAAAATTCCTTTTGTTTTGACCAGCTGAAATAAATGAGAAAGGCATTCAGAAGAGAGATCTAAGAGAAGTTTGGGGGCTGGTGGGAAGGGAGAACAGAGCAAGATAAAATATATGAATATAAACTCAGTCTGTTTGTAATAAAAGCCCTAGAAACACAGGCAACAGGATGATGCCTTTTTTATCATCACATTTCAGAAATGCAGAACATTTATGTGTTCGTGTTTATCAAAGGTGGAAGACACAAAGTAATAGGTTTTCTTCTCATCCTTCTTATTTATTGGTGGTGTATGGAAATTTTAGTGGCTTCTGTAATGCTTTTTGTTTATTTTAAATGGTGTTTTAAAGCTTATTTCAGTTTAGTTGTATTCTGACCAGCATAATTTCAGACATGTAATAAGATATTAATTTTCTTCCTCTAGAAATACTGCTTTTATTTCATGAGTATTAAAGTTTAGTTTTAAATAATGGATAGCTTTGCATCGAGACAAAAACAGGTTAAACCAGAGTTCGTTCCCCTTCAGAAACTTCTCTGGCTGCTTTATCAAAGTGGAATTTTACTTCAGACAATACAGTCTTGTACCTGTGCCAAGTGGATTGAACTGATAGCCTTTATCAGCGTTCAGCATGTGCACTCTGATGTACTGGTGTCGGAACGGGATACGGTATCGGACTGCAAAGAGAGTCTCCTCTGAGACCTGTCTGGCTTTGAGAACAACTTTCTTTTGTGGGGGGTTGTTCTTGGGTGTGGGATGCCCTGACATGGGGAAGTGCTGCTGTAGGTGAAGCTAGCACCCATGTTCAAAGCTTCAAAGCCAGGCTGGATGGGGCTTTGAGCTGCGTGGTCTAGGGGAAGGTGTCCCTGTCACAGCAGGGGATTGGAGCTGCACAGTCTTTAAGGTTCCTTGCAAGCCATTCTGTGATTGTATGATTCTGTGTTGAGTACAAAGGTGACCTGCAGCAGTGCATCCTTTGTTTGTGCCTGCAGGCTGGAGCGGGTGCCAGCTGGGTGCCAATGCCACCTGCGGTCACGGGGAGCGCCGCCGCCTCCTGAGCTGCCAGCGCAGCGACGGGGCCACCGTCAGCATGCAGCTCTGCCAGCAGGTGAGCTGGGCTGGGGCACACCCAGAGGTCCCTGTGTTAACAGAAAGCTGGTGCTGCCTTTTGATCCATGCTAAGACATTCCCCATAACTGGTAGAGAAGTTTTGTATGGTGCTGGGAGCGCACAGCTGGAGGGGGCTTTGGGAAAGAGGGGTGTCAGTGGGGGTGTCACTCCTCGACTCAAACACATGGGGCATGGCTACCATCCCTGCACCATCCCAAAGCTGGGGATCAGGGAGATTGTGTTCTGCTGTTAGAAACCTAGGGTTGCCACTTTGGAATGAGACCCAAACACTGAGGGATGCTCAGATGTGAAACGCTTCACTGCTGGAAGCGCATTCAGCCATTGCACCCTCAGGGAAGCTCCCTGTACACATCACCATGCTGGTGCCCTGCAGAGTTGCTGCCAGTTCTTGTTTGTGTGCTTGGCTGTGACAGGAGGTGGTTGGGGAGGCCTGGGGAAGCTGATGCCTGTGTTTCCCTGTCACAGCTGCACCTGGAGAAGCCCGTGCCCACGAGCAGTCCGTGCGTGGTGGGGTGTGCCGTGGACTGCCAGCTCTCCCCGTGGTCAGCCTGGTCGCAGTGCTCACACACATGTGGCACTGGTGGTGAGTCCCTACCTGCTCTCCTGACCCCCCCATACCCCAACAATGCAGCACAGACAGCACCCACAGCCCCAGGTGGACTCAGGCAGTCCCTGAGTAGGGGTACAGAGCTCAGGGATAGCCTCAAGCCACACCTGAATCCTTTGGAGGTGGTTTTGGACACTCTGGAGGTCCTGAGGTGGTGGGTGTTTAGAGCTAAGCAGGCTATTTCCAAAGTACTTTAAAGTGAAAAATGCATCTTGGGGAATGAGTAGTCAGATGTCTGGAGGATTATTTATTAATTAATTCAAACTCTCAGAATTCAGTCATAGCAACCGTTAACCCCAGAGATGGGGAGTATATAAAGCTAGCAAAGAGCTTGGGAGTGTTACAAGATTCTGAAGAGATTAATAAATAAATACAAATTCTCTGGTGAAGTAATTTTTACTAACATAACTGTATCCCATTGAAGAAAACACACAAAGACAATTTTTCATCATTTAGTGTATGCCTCTGTCTCCATCTTGCATCCACAGGTCCCCTAACACTTACATGACTCCAGTAACTTCAGCAAGACTTTCTTCAGCCAGTAGTGTTCACCAGCATACAAAAAGTGAAAGGATTAGGACCTTTTTCAGCTTAGGTGTTTTAAAATACCCTTTGAGTATTGACATGAGGAAATGCATTGAAGGTTTTATTCTCAATAAGCTTGGGACTTTGTTTCCCAGGCTTCTGATGTGCATTAGAGATACAGCTAATGGTCTTTAAGATTCAAAAGCCATAATGTATATTTGAATCAAATTCACTTAAGGTCAAAAAGAAAAAAGCTCTTAACTTCCATAAAATGATTCCTTCAGATGGATACCAGAGATCAAAGCATGTTACAGAAAAAGCTTAATATTTGGATTAGTGCTGTTCTTTCTTTGCTGAGCTTTTAGCCCATTTGTGAAGTAGTGCTTTCTTAACAGAAATGAATAATTCATGGACAGTGTTTTAACAACAACACACTGGGAGTACTATTAATTCCAAATTATTATTTTTTTTTCTTTAAAATCCATTTTGGAGTGTTAATGCTTGTGTTGCTGAATAAACTTAATTTAATTTTTTGAGTGTTCAATCACTTACTAAGTTAAACAGAGTACAGTGCAAAAGCAGGTTGTAATGTTTTTATGGCTTTTAGTATGCTCAAGGAGCAGCTCACCCTATATGGTACCTGAAGATTTCTTCCATCCTGAGCTCTTACATTGCATAGTTTGCAAAAGGAGATACTCAAGTGTCTTGTGTTTGACCCTGATCCTGAAATGCTTGTGCAAATTCCAGACTGATTAAAGAGTTGCCAGTGAGTACAAGGAGTTACTCCATGTCCTAAATCAGAGGAAATCTGGAAACATTCATGCTGAAAGAGACTTTCCAGTGAGTGTCCTGGCTTTAGGTGCCAAACCTCATTGAGGCTGTTTCAATCACACAGTCAAGCCCAAACTCAGCTCAATTTACAGGTCATCCCTGATCTTCAAAGATCATAACTCTGCTCTACTGCTGGCTGGAGATCTGTCTTGTACAGGCCACTGTACTACTGCTGTTGTTTAACATGGATTTAAAAGCTGGAGATACTCTTCAGTGAACCTACAGCAGCCAAGCAGCCGGGAAAGCTGTTTCATACAAAACTGTGTCATAAAGAAGCCAAGTTTTTTCAGTCCTTCTCTGCCACTTGAACAACTTCACAGGGATCCTGAGCCTCCAATGCCAGAGCAGAAGCACCAGTGAAACAAAGAGGACTCTGCCTCCAGGTTATTCCAAACACACAGTTTATTTTCCAGCAGCCTCGGTCTTGATCTGACTTCTGCTGTATCAACTCAGAGCTACTGTGGTACCAAACATCCCTGGTGGAGGGACCTTGGCACCTGTCCTGTGGCAGTGGCCCTTGTGTGGTTCCAGCAGCACAAACAGTGTCATTCAGCTGCTTCACTGAGCACCAGTGGGCTGTAAATACTCCTGGATGATGGCAATAACAGAGAAGAGTTTTGTGCACTCATCTACAGGCGCTGCTTCAGAGGAACACAGTGAGGGTTTCCAGCCAGAAGGGTCATGGACTGCCACACCTTTGAAGTCACCCTGAGTTTCTCACAGGCTTCTGTGGGAGTAGGATGAAGCCTCAAATTAGACAGGAAAAAACAAAGGGTGACACTAAATGAGCTGTGGGAATTGGCTGCAGTAAACACTCATAACTGCTTCCCTTTGCCAGTAAGTAATTGCCCACTGTCTGGTACAGCTAAAATGCAGGGCTTAGGTGCTCGGTGTGCAGAAATAATTCACAGCAAGTTGAATGCAGCATTACTGGATTAGCTCACAACAATATTTTGCTTTTCTGGCTTTTTTTGGACAGCGTGTGAAAGACCTGCAGAAGTGCCATAAAGGACTTCAAAGAGAAACATAATTTAAATATAATTTGGGTGTCATGGAGTTACTTTACCTTTAAGGGAGTTGGCGTTGCTGGGAACTGCCTGGAGTCTTTTCTCCTGGCCAATTATCGGTCATTGTTGAGAATTGACAGCAGTTTAGGCCATTGAAAAGTAAGATCAACTTGTGAACCCTACCTTAAAGTGTAAAAGCAGAGCTCTCTGGGTTCTCTTTGTTTCCTGGCTGTGGAGGGTGGCGGAGCTCCAGGCCTCCCGTCCCTGCCCAGGCCATGCGGCCGGGCGGGGATGGGGCCGGGCCTGCCCCGTCTCCCGGCCGGGAGATGGGGGGGCCTGGGGAAGGTTTTCCTTGGGCCTGGGCCGGGCCGAGCCGATCTCTGGCTCTGCTGCAGGTTTTGCTGTAACTACATTCACTAGAAACTGCCCAGTGAAGAAAGAGGGAGGCCCTGGACTTGCAGCGGGTTGGAACAGCGACTACACGCTCTAGAGCAGCCATGAGGAACCTTCTATCGCAGACAGCTCCAGCTCCTGTTCGGCAGAGATCTCTAAACCATCTACAAAAGCCTGGGCAAGATTTTAACTCTTTCATTACCCAGATGAGACTTGCGGATTAATCTTTTTATCCAGAGAGAGAAAAAGAGAGTGATCAACATGAAAAGAGACTTTATAAACTACCAGTGACAGGAAAGAAAAGAAGCTCCAGGAAAGGTAGAGAATTAAGAAGATGCTTTAATTAAGCTGAAATATCTCTCTGTTAAAACTATGGAGATGGACAATGAAGTCCTGAAAAGAACTCCTTTAATTCATGATACAGTATCTAGAGAGGAATAAAGCATTCAAAGTGTAAATTTGAGTAAAAAGTAGAGTAATTATGGTATAGTGAAGTGCTGGGAGATTTGAAGCCTTGAGAGGCAATGAGAAAACTGTTTTCTAGTGAAGCTCACAGAAACAGATGAAGAAGACTTTTTTGCCTTTGAATAACTCATCCTTAAAATGCCATCCCTAGACTCATGGCCCATACACACTTCAGAGTGATGTGAAAATGGGAGGAGTGAACTCTAATAATAGCAGCTCTGGGCAGCTAACATTAGGGCAATGGAAAACTATAACAAAAATAGTTTTCTTGTGAGAAACTCCATAAATTAACAGGAAGAAACTTCTGTTTCTCTACAAAGACTGGTGAAAAGACTGTAGCAAGAATTGGGACTGTTTTAACCATCAAAGCTCCAAGGTTTTTGTCTCTGTTGTCATGTGAACAAGGGAATAGTGGCTAGATAGGGGATGAAAAGGTTTTTCTGGAAGTTTATTCTGGTGTTCTTATTATTGTAGTTTGTCAATAAACTTTTTTTTTTTTTCCCTTTTGAGTTGTATGCCTGTTTTGCTCTTGTTCTAATCCATATCTCACAGCAAGAAATAAGTAATTTTCTTAGTTATTGGTTTAAAACCACGACAAAAGGAAAGCCATGTGCTCATTGGGAGACAAATAACTGATAGAATGATGTTTGTTTACAGATCTAACACCCTGATGATTTTTCATTTCAAATACAGACCAACAGTTTTTTGGGGAAAAACACCTGAGCAAGCATATCCAGATATTGTGCATGTGTTTGTGATGCTTGGGTGATGCAGGATGTTTTTTTTGGATGCCTGCCTTAAATAAAACTGTCAAAAAATGTGAGGACTGTTATGTTTACAGATCTGCTCTAAGGCAGACGATTCCCCTATCACTACATATTTTTTATTATCCCTTGAGGCTGAAAACTGTTGGAATACACAAGGACATTGTTTTTCATAGTGAAAATCTGAAATGGAAATAACTCAATCCAATTATCTGATGTAATATTAATTACTACAGTGGTGTAAGATCAGAACCACCAGAGACTTCTTCTTCTTCAACTCTGAAATTCACACATCCATTCCAATTTTAAATGGGTAAAAAAAAATTCTCCTGTTACAGCTGTCAATTTCAATTCAGACTAATTTTTGATCCAGATTTTTCTGCAGCTAAAGAAACTGAGAAAATATTCTATTACATAAAAAGGGATACGTACTTTTTTTGGCTGTATTGCTTACCTGCCAGTACGCCTTATGGCCAGGAACATTGATAAATAGCAGTGGAATATTATTACCAGGGGGATAAAAAACACGCAGCAGCATAAAATCATGGTGTAGCTTCTGTTTGCTGGGGAGTAGGTTACATAGTCCCACGTACAGGATATCATCAAGCCCTCAGGCACATAGGAACCTATGGAATACATGGAACACATTATTCACACATGCACCCAAAGTTAGCACCGGTGCTGATCCAACCACTGAGCACTTAAAATAAACCCTGTCCTGTATCCATGGTTTTCAAGAGCCATACCAGCCAAACTACACATCATATATGTGAGAAGTGAGTGCCCACGAGGAGAGGAGGTTCTGACTACAGAACTCTCAGGTACACACTAATGCTCCATCTGCAGGTTGTTCTGCTTGAATACATCCTGGGCGTAGCGGGGCAGAGGGTTTTTGCAGTACAGCAGGTGCAGATGTGTGCTACACCAACAAACCATCAGGTGGTGGCAGGGTATCCTCACGAGGACTGATTTGAGAAAATGACTGATGAGAAAACTCATTTTTTTTTATCCCCCAAGGAAGACTAAAATGAGCACACAGGTACTGCTAGGAGAGAGAGAGAGAGAAGACAACATACTCCAGCCGAGGAGCGGAGCCACGCTCCATCCCAGCGAGTAGAGCCACACTAGAGCGATGATCTGCATGGTGCGTCTCTTGGAAGTCCGCTGGATGGACTGCAGGGGCTTTGTGATCACCAGGTAGCGGTCAACAGAGATAGCCAACAGAGTCATCATTGAGGTTATCCCAAAGAGAGCCCCACAGAAAGCATACAGGTTACAGCCTGGAGAGGGAAACGAAATGTCAGGGGTTTTCTTGAAAAGAGGCATGATTTCTCTCAGACCCCACTGAAATAAACCTCCCTTTTTCATCCTTGCTCAGGACTTCTCTCTCAATAGAAGCATTTCCTTAGCTTCACATTTTCATAGTTATTAAATGTTTATTAGAAAAACACAAATATAAATAAAATACAAATATATGTATTTAAACGAGTCCTATTTCACTGCAGGCTGCAACTGGGAACCTTTTGTCAATGGAAAACTGCCTCAAAGAAAATCCAATCTAATTAAAGTTATATTTTCCTGGACTGTTGCCCAATATATTGATCTTAACATGCTGCAGCAGACATCTGTCAATGATGGATGGGTGGTTCAAGAAATTACTTTGGTTTATGTGGCTTAAAAATGCAGAAGTGGTTTAAATTTGGTGGCTAAGAGACCAGCTGTCTTAAAAACATAGTTCAAAGTCCTATATTTAATGTCAGTACTTTTTAAAAGAAATGACATTTTTTACATGAAACGGACCCCTTAACCCCTTCTGCATTCAGGCACTGCACTAGCAGATGGAAAAAGTTACACTGAATTTAATAGAGAAACCTGTGTGGAAAGAGTATCCATTCTTTGAAACCTTGCATTGCCCCATGTGGTCGTAGACAAGAGCCCACTAGGAATGACAAGCAGCAAAAACACCAATTCCAACCTTAAAGCAGAGTTCTAAAGTCTATACAAATAGCTTCCAACTAAGGACCAAATCCCACTCAACTCAGATCAAATGCTTCATTTGTGGCAGCATGATAATTTGCACTGATTTTATCTAAGGGGATGAACAATACTAAAAATACCTTCAAACTAGGAAGAGTCCCTTCTGTGCTGCTGAACAATACATGGTCTCTCGACTTGCTCCACCATTGTACAGCCACCACTGGGTGCAAGTTTTCATCCATAATATGATGAGGAGCGCCAAACAGCATTGGGCCTTCTGAGGTTCTTGCTATACCCACATTTCAGCTCTAATTTCAGCATTTATCACCTTTCCTTTCTTGCAGTTGGAAAGAAAGGAGCTTGAATTTGCCGAGTCCTCAAATGACTGCTATTTAAATCTCTGAATTAAATATGAGATTCCTAGAAGCATGCCAATGGATATACATACATTTCTAAATAAAAGTAGTAACTAGCCCTCAAAATTATACAGAAAAGTTATTTACAAGTTACTAAGACTTTTCTACCTATTTTCAGCCATAATACCTCCCTTACAAGCTAAAGGTAACATGATTATATGTGCAAGTTGACTCCCTCCTTTCCAAAATATGTAAGATAAAAGAATCACAGCTGTAATTCAAAACATGTTGACATCACGCTGACTGACGATGTCTGGGTCTGTGACTCAAGAGATTTCTGCTGCTCTGTCTGTGGCACAAGCCAAGACTGTTGTGCTGAAACAGGCTGCAGGCAGCATAAAGCTGGCAAGGTGTGAATTAGTGTTGAAAAGTACCTATGTCTCCAAGTATCCATTCTCTGTGCAAGCTGTTGACAAAGCACATGGGTGCCTGAGAAGCCGACATCAGGAAGTCACTCACAGCTAAATTCATTATAAAGTAGTTTTGGGGAGTCCTCAGCTTCTTGTTGCTTAAAAACATGAGAAATACATAGTTTTAAAAAGACAAAGTGGAAATTTAACTTTATAACTTTGCTTACTAGCATAAACAAATACTGTCCAGGTTGGAATTGATGGTTACTTGCAGTGAATCAATTGCTAATCATCAGTCAATTACTGCAGCTACAGCTGTAGTCATTTCTAAATTATTGAAAAAAAACCCAGGAGCGAAAAAAATGAATTGTTTTCTCTTCAGGCTAAGGAGATTTTCAGCTGTCTTGATAAATATAGATTTGTTCAGAAGAGCAGTTCCCTAGGAGTGCTGTAATATTGATTGTGCCTTGCACTGCACATGAGGAAGATCTGAAGAAAGTTACAGAGCCAAAGGATCTGCTTCTGGTGATACTTTAAAAAACTGCTGACCTGAGGTGTTGTGTTGACACAGTTGGCCTGAAATGGTTGAGATGCCACTAACTAAATGATCCTTTTCAAAGTGCTACAGCATGAGCAGAGCACACACTGAGATTTGGAGAAAGTGCTTTTGCTTATGTACATCTCATAAGAGAGAATGAAAACTCTCAGCTGCAGATGAACAGGCAACATTAAACACCACAACAAGGTGTGAAAGCAGAGGTCTGCAAGAAAAGTTTGTCCAAGGAAAACAACTGAGACCTTTCTGATGTGCTTTGCAATATCAATATTTGCAGCTAATACGAATTTCTTTCCTCATGCTAATAAATAAATAGTGAAAAAGAAAGTGAGAAAGACATCTCAGTGCTGCTGCAATTCTAATAAATTCTTGGGTCTCATAACTGCCTGCAAAAACAGGGTAAGAGAGAGTGCAGAGTTCATGTGCTAATCTGCCAGTGCAGATTTTCCTACTTTGACAATTTAATGCCTTCATTACACCAGCTAAACCACACACATTTCAAGAGAAATACAGAGCTTGTGCTGCATTTTAAAATATCATGAAGGTATCTACAGTTGCAAGGAATTCAATTTCTCTAAATCATATTAGAAACTGGTTATTCAAAATAACTCATTTATTGGTCTTAAACATTTAAGAATAGGAAAACTAACAATTGGTTCATAACCCACTGGTGTCTCTAACATTGAAAGGCCCCACTGCATCACCATGCATAATGACAGCAAGTAGTGAATGAGGAGGATTTTGAAATCCATCATCACAGTGTGGAACAGAGGGCAGATATTTCTTTTTTCCATGGGATTTTTGCACAGTCTAGCTGCAGTAACTTTGGTTGACTATTACTCTACCAAGAGAGCACACAAACTGACAGAAATCCTATGGTCTGCCTGGAGCAGGAAACACACTGGTGGCATGAGCTCATTTAATGTAGCAGATTGCCTTCTTGGTCCTTTCAGGACCACTAGGCTCCTGGGAAGAGTGTCACTGTTGAGTATTTCTACAAATACTACAGGGTTAGTGAAGAAATCTGCTGCTGAGAGACTGTGGTTTCTATCATTAGAAGTATTAAACCATTCTTTAACCTTTCAATTGGAAATTATAGAACAAGGTATTATTTTCTCATTTTATTTGATTCTTTAAAACGTCAGGAATTTATGCTGAGGTTGTCAACGATGCACATGGATGTGTTTCCGTGTGTGTAGGGTTGCCTTCTCCTCTCTTTCCACCATGATTGTTGCCATTAGATTTAATCCAAGTGGAAAGCAGTGCAGAAATTTGTACATGGGCACAGGTGAAACTCAAGGCCACTCAGATCAGCCACAAAAGGAATTTTTGTACCTGTAAAATGCGTAGAGGACTAGGAGGTTTCCGATGATGCCAATGGAGCCAATAATGAGCACACATGTTCCTACGGTGTAAAGAACATGGCCAGGGATCTCTACCTTGGTCACAGTGTGTGGCTGGGTACTCATGTTCAAACCCTGAATTGAAAACAGAGGAAAAGGAAAGCTTAGCCCATTTGGGACCCTTAGTCCATGAACATATGCTCAGGTTGTTGGCATTCACTTCCACAGCTCATGCAAATCAAATACATACTTCTGAGCTCCTCTCATATCCCCTGTAATCAAGTTTCTCTCAGATAACTTTCATAATTTTGACAGTAGGCATTTATCTTAAGAAAAGAGCAACAGAGAAAGCAGACTGGTAAAGACAACAAGGAAGTTAGAATGATGTGAAAAAGGCAAAGAAGCACAAGCATAAAACTCGCTCTGGGTAACTGCTGCACTTTGGGGCACAGAGCTGGCTGACAACACAGACTGACAGCATCAAATAACCTGTCACAGTTTGGCTTTATTAGGAGCAGTGATATCAAAACCCACACTAACAAACATTAAAACCCCTGGATCTCCCCAGGCTCATTATCCACTAACTCAGTGCTACAAAACCTGGGAATTCCCCATGCAAAGGAGAGGAGATGAGAGGTATAACAGCAGCACTAACACTGCCAGTGTAAGAAAACATATATTACATAGTTTTGACACCATTTTCACTACCCTGTATCTTCACCACATGAATAGGCTCCCTCTGTATTTTTTTTTAAATCAAATTCAGATTTATCACTGTCTACATTCAGCAGCAAGGCAGCCTACAGCTAATCCACTCAGCTCACATTAGCATTAGCAACAAGAAGAGTCCAAATTGCCTTGTGAAGATTCTTATTTACCAAGTCACAAGCAGTTAAGTCTCAGAATCGCAATCAGACCTGGAGAGCTGAATCAAAGGTGTGGCACCTTGCCACAGCTGGGCACCTGCTTTACTTCGCCCCTTTCTCCACTGCACAGCTCAGCAATGTGTGGAGTGTGTGATGAGGCTGATTTTGGCCTGTGAAGAGAGGAGCTGGGTGGTAGAACAGGTTAACACGATAACTATGTGATGATAACCACTGATAATATTCAATCAGCGATCTTTTAAATGATGGGTACACCCTTTCTTTCCCATTGCTACCTTCTGATCTCCCATACTGCTGCTTCTCCTTTCTGCCTTAAGTTCCTCACTCATCTGTGAGATGCACACAGTACAGCTCCCTCCCTGCACAGCAGCCCTTGCTGTGGGCATTATCCCACTATCCCCCCAAGTCTGTGACCCTCCTGGGACATGCCCTGGGGAGGCTGCATTGGGCAATGGGGAGGGCACGGTGAAGGGTGCTGCACACCCTGAGCATCTGCACAACAGCGGTGGAAATGCTGACAGCAAAGCTCCCTGGACTAAAGTGATGTAGTAAAAAGTACAAAAGCTATGGCTTCAAAGCAGGAAAGTGCTTTTGAGCCTTCTCAGTCATCTGACAGACTCTACCCTTGACAGGATGGCTACTGCCAACATGGCACTTTACCATACAGAGATCACATCACTGTAAAAGCAGGAAGCAATGGAAGAGAGCATCAACTGGCGCTGGTTGCACCAGGGGGCTGTGACTGTGATTTCCAGTGCTTAGGCAGCAATAAAAAAATGTCACTGTGTGCAGCATTTACCCTTGAGAAAGGCGTGAGAGGTCATGTAGGAGCAGGCAGAGCACAGTGAGGTGGCCCAGCAAAGAAAGCAGTCATGGTTTTTAGTGGCACCAGGCAGAGCTAGCACCATGCTCTCAGAGCAGGGCCGCCTGGGCCTGCAAATTAAGCACTGTAATGCCTCTCCACCTCTCTCAAACCCAATAATCTCAGCAGTGTGTGTGCACTGAATTATAACCCTGCCACAATTCTGGCAATGCATACCAAAGAAGCTAAGCTGGGGAGAAAGGAAAAGGGTTCATTTTTACTTCCTTTCCAGCTTATCTGTTAGGCATGCCAAGGATTTGCCTCTGCCTCGAGGTTTATTATATAGAGGGCTATTATATAAATGTAATTCAGGGCAAGTATATGCCTGTCATGATTTATGCTGTACTTCAACATATGGGAATTCACAGTTGCAGAAATTCATTTGAAAAATGGACTAATTTCACACCCAAAGATGTCTCACCTTATCTCTCTGCTGAAGAGAAGCTGACTTGGACATTTTGGCCTCGTTTACTCATTTGTGGGTGGTGAGCTGTGTCAAAAGCTGAAAAATATCTCAAATGACACATTTGTAAACTTAGCTTACAGTTTGCTGGCAATACTGGATGAAATATAAACTATTGATGCTTACAGAGTGGAATCTGGAAGGCAATAAATACCAAGGATTACACAGAGCCTTCAATCTCAGTGAGAAGCTAAAGTGAGGCATGTTTAGATTACACAGACTTTGGATCTTGCCTCCAGGGGAGTCCATGAAATACCACAGCCACTTCTGCTGCAATGTTAATAGCAGTTAGATAACTTTCAGATCTAAATGGAAAGACAGCTACTCATTCCCTCTGCTGGTGTTATGCTGAGAGAGCAGGATGTGGGAGGCATCCAAGCTGTATGAAATGTGGCAAGCTGACAAAGACCAAAAGCCATTTATAACACTGTCATTTGAATCTGAGAAGAAAAATGTCCAAATCTGTGTGTGTGTGTGTGGATATATTTCAACAGAAAACCTCAACTTGGATAAAAAATAATTTCATTAAACAGGTGGAATATTTCTAAATAAAACAGGCTAAAACCAGTACAAATAGCTGTAGGCTAATCAAGGAGAATATACACCTCATTTTTCTCACATAATGTATTTCCCCAATTTGGCATATTTTCACTATAGGAAACTTCTAAATTAAAATATTCAAGTACTCTTAAGGCTGAGAATTTAAAATCTACTTTGGTGGACAAATGCTGCTTTTCTAATACAGACCTGTCCTCCATACAGCATATCCACCTGGAGACAAGTAGCACTATCATCAAGGTTTTAGGATATTCATTAAATTTAGGCTTTTTCTCTTTTCTTAGTGTCAGCTCTGATAAGATGGCCTTTTAGCAGTTTTAATTAACAAGCTAAATACTTGCTAATGTAAATATTTTACTGTATAAAGATGGGGGCTGGAAATACGAAAAAAATAATTACAAGCTTAGTGATGAGCTTTAAGGAGAAGCTCATTTTTGCAGATCTTCTCAAAAGCTCTTACTTCTCTATGCATTTCCTTTTTCTACTTTTAGCTTCCCACAACTAGTAAGAATAAAATTAAATTATAGGAGAATATTCCAGGTTACTATGAGTGTTTTTACTCAAGAAAGCTCAAATAACTATTACAAATCTTTCCAGATAACTTGGTAAGCAGGCCAGCAGCTATGTACAGCAGGTTGCATTCACTGTAGACACTGATGAGTCATACTGTGTTATGTCTATATTAGCCTCTCTTAGCACCAAAATTATGTATCAAATGGTCAATGACAGCTGCTATGAATCAGCAAAAGATTAGTTTGTACTGTGGGGAAGGTCCTGCCTTTTAGACTTAGTAAAAGGTCTTAGTAAAGCAGAGATTTTTGTATCCTCCTCGAGTCACCGAGATATACTTTGCAATACTTTGACTTTATACTTTAGCCTGATCACCTTTATTTTATTAACTGCAAACTGAGACCTCTTGAGAATGCAACTGAAAAAAGTTTAAAAAATTAAAAGACATGTTGGGAGAAGTTCCCCCTCAGCTGTTTCACACTGCCATGGTGATGTACAGCGGACCTGGATTCAACACACCTGGATCTCAGCTGTATTTATGGGTGCTCAGTATCATCACAGCCGTGTCATATAGAGTGAAAAGCCTGCTCTGTATAAGCCTCAGTCTTGCTCCTTCTCTTTATGGGTGTGATTTAACATAATGATAATGAAGGAAGGCACTACATTTTATTCAATGAATATATCAAATATTTAATGGATGAACCAAGTTTTCAAGTGCTCATTTGAAATGAGTTCACCAGTCCATTTTTTCCCCCAGACTGGCTTTGCCTCTCTCCATATTTTGGTCCTGGGAAAGAATCCTGAGCACTCTGCTGAAGACACATCCTTTTCCTGAGTGAACATTCCAAGGCCACCATCCAGAATGACCTGATTGTTTAGGTCAAAAATCCAAATGTAAACAAGCAGCCCATGAAGATGCCAGTAATTGCACCAGGGCCAGCTTCTGGTGTACTTTGTGACCCTGTGCTTGCTCTGTTTGACTCCTTCTGAATTAATGCTACAATCATTTGCATTTTGACTCTGAGCTGTTGGAGGACCTGACAACTCACATAAATTATGATGTGGCCTTGCCCTTATATATGAAATGACTACAACATCAAAACATTGTCACCTACATGGCTGCTTGGAGGGCTTTCCTGGAAGGGTAGCCAATGGATCTGCAGGCAAATGGAGGGTAAACAATTAACAGTTGTCCCTCAACTATCTGGCAAAGGAAGCAGGCACCAGATATAAAAATAAACTTTCTCTCATATTTCTCCCAAAATAAAGACGGAAACCATCAAACAGATGAAGGAAGTCATTCTAGGAAAGCTTTTGTACTTTGATTTCTGTGACAAAATGATGGCTGAATAATCAGAATTATCTATTTCTGCTTTTCGGATGCTAAGATTAATAAAAAGACAAAATAATTAATCCATGCAGAAAAAAAATTGTTGTTAAAAAAGGAGGGCAAGGGCAGGCCCCCTTCAGTGGGTATAGGTAGAAAATACTGGACTGAAATGGTTGCATGATTTGCATTAGGTAGATATAAGATTACCCAAAGCTTTATTTACCCTCTGATTTTGCTCGTGGGTGCAAGCTCATCTTGTGGAAATGATTTACACTGAAATGAGCTTAAGGAAGGGCTTGCTTACATGGGGGATTTATGTGCACTAACAAGGAAATAAATTAACAACATAGCAGCCTCCCTGTGTTGAACTGCTCTGTGGATTCACAACGTAGAAGTTTGATTTGCTGTTCAAAATCTTGTCTATACCAATACACTTGAAAATTTTTAAGAAAAATACTAAACAATGCTTAGGTATGTTAGCTGAGATGGGAGAAATCTGAGTGTGCCAGCTAGCAGATAGTACTTGCCAAGTTCCTTATAATTTCACTGATAGTCCATATAATCCAGGTAATTTCAGTATGAAGCACCACCTGGCTTGAAATTACAACAAAATTTGGGGCTTAATGAAATATCTTGTATGTAGGAGCTCTTTGAAGCAGCAAACAGAAGGTAGTTGCTGTGTAGAGACTATAACAGGACTATATATATATATATATATATATATATATACACACAGTATATATATAGTATATATACTCAGATATTTTATAAAAGATGATGTATTTAAAATAAAGATTTTTGGGAAATATTGTTAATATCTTTGGGCTTTTAAAAAAGCCCCAAACAAAATCAAGACAACAACTTTGCTTGTTCTGGCTGACAGTTCCAACACCACACAGTAAGGTCAGATAATTTGGCCCTCAGAAAGTCAAGTCAAACTGTGATCATCCACATGTGGAGAAGCTGCTTTCCTTATCAGCCTCTGGGTGACAGTTCTCTTCCACACTTATTCCAGCCAGTTCACATGCAAAAGCCAGAAGCAGTCAAACACACATTTACAGTATGTATTTAATAAAAATGAAAATTGGTTTAGCAAATGGACTTCCACGCCTGTGACTTCCATGCAGTCTATCCAAAAGTGACAAAGAAGAACAGGAACTGCCTATAACAGGACAAGTAGCAAAGTCAGGCATCTGCCCCACACCAAGGCAAGTGTTCACCCAGACTGTCATCATAAATTTTTGGGAAAAACCTCAAGCATTTTTTCCAACAATACAGTACATATTTAGTTGATTCCATTCCAGCAATTTGCTTCTGGGCTTCTGGCCAGTTGAAAAAAAGCACTGAATTTCAGGACTCATTTGTATCCTTAAGATCTCATGTTTAGCACAGCCTCTGCTTTGATGAGATGCTTTCTTTCAGGCCCTTAATATCTGTGCTTAAACTTCTTGCAAGCAATCTAATGAGGCATGGCTGGGGATGGCAGAAAAAACCCTTGAACCCCCCCAGAAAACTCCAAAGAGAAGAACCATCAAAACCTTATCAAGTTCTCAATACAAGAATCATCAGATACTTAAAGTAGGCATACACAGATTTTTACATGTCCAGCTTAATGAGTCAGTATAAGCAATAGATATTAATAATTCAGATGTCTTCTAAATTAATCATATTATATTAAAATGATGCTTCTGAAAACATAACAATCAGTAACAAACAATGAAAATGAAAAGAATTTAAGTTTTAATATCTGTCTGCTAATTACAAAGCTCTCAAAGGGCATATTTTCATCTCTCTGGAGACTGACTAAAAGAACTTTAAAATGTATAACCTTTTCTGGAAAGCACAGAGACATTGTTTTCTATGTACATCTTCAGCTACGCTGCTGAAATCAGTGATAAAAGACACATTTGTTTGTCAGAGCAGGAAGGAAAAGGGAAAAAAATCCAACCTCAAATACCAGCCCAGCTGAAAAACAAACTTGTGTTCCAGCTCGAGTGCTCTCTGCATGGCTTGGGCAGGGCTTGGCAAATGTGAGGGATTACCCAATGTTTGACAAGTTTTTCTATGCCTGCACAGCCAGCCTTGCTTTGTGGGGAAGACCTGGCAAATAATTAGTATTTGGTTTCCTTTCCTGAATCCATGCCATGGGGATCAAACCTTGAGGCAATGGACTTTAATTTCAAGACCTCAAAATTTTAAACCAAGGTACCAAAGGCGTATTTCCTGAGAACATTTCTGTTCCAGTATTAGTGTACTTGTATAATCCAGACAGGTAACATTAACAAGGTCTTCACAACATTTTCCTCTACAGAAATTTTATGTTCTATTTAAATGTATTCAGTTCTAGTCTGAAACCTAAAAGAACCAAATTCTACCATGACTTATGAATTTTTGAAAAACAAGCAAAGAGAAACCCACTACCAGAAGCTGCTAACACTCAGTTAAGCTGGGGGCTCAGTCCATCTTTCCCCTATCATCTTTCGCAGGCTTGCATCCCAGCGCAGACAGTTCCTTAATGTGACCCCTGAGACACTCACCATATTGTCCCCTTGGCCATAAATGACGTCAAAATTATCTGATGCTGTGTCCAAATGCACCTCAAATCACAGCCCCAGCTATACACGCTCGGGCAGGCAGCACACTGAACAAATCTAATCAATGCTGACACTGCATCAAAATTAGCTGGACTATCACAGTTCAGTGCATATTTGCTTGGCCATGAGGGAACAGATGACTGCTAGCACAGTGCAACAACAAAGCAGTAGGCAGAAATCTCAGGAGATATATATATACACATATATATTTATTTTTTTTTAGAGCCTTAGAGCATGTTAGTTAAAAACATGGGTGGTTAGAAGATGATATGCTGGCTAAGTCGTTCAATATAAGAATTTTAGAAGTCATCAGGGAAAAGCTACAGCAA